GCCCCGTTGGCTGGCAACACAAGAGGTACCAGCCAAGATAGGCACGAACAACATCCATCTGGGGCTGGCGAAGCAGGCCAGCAAATACGAACACCATGACCTGCAAATTTCAGGGTTAAGGACGGCAGGTGGGCATGAGTAGTTGGGACATGCGTGTGCCGATTAACAAACAGGTTAGGGGGCGGAATTGATGAGAGCGGGAGAATGGGTACTAGGATGCAGCAGGGGGGGTGTTGTAGCCTGGAATCAGCATCCTGTTTCAGCATGGTGCATGCTGTCGCTCACGAGGATCACGTGCACCATGGCTTCCTCACCTGCATGACGGCCCTGTGCTCATAGGCCGCGACACATGCTCCACTCTCGAAGTAGGCGCTCTCTGGCAGGCGCAGGTGGTTCAGGCGCGTGCGGTCGCGAATGAGGGACAGGCGCCTGCGCATACATCCGAGTTCAAGGCCGGCACAAATGCATGGGCATGTAAGTAGGAGGAGAGTGCGTATTGGAGTGTTCTTGACACGAAAGTAATCCCCCAAGGCACTGACCTGTCCATCTGCTTGACGCGCCGCTTCTTCATCTTGCGCACGACAGCCACAATGTGGCTCATCATGCCCAGGTCCGCCTGGTGCATGATGTCAGGCATGATAACGAGGTAGGGATTGCCCCACACGGTCCCTGGGACATCCCATTTCCAGAGCACACACTGGCGGAGGGGGTGTGGTGGGGAATGGTAGAGAAAGGTATATGAGAGACTCGGCCAACATGTGGGGCAGTGCAATGGCAGTGCACATCTCCCCCAGGGCTTCTCAACACGGAGTGCTTAGACAGGAAAGTAGCGCGGTGGACAGGTCGCTCACCTCAACCGGGTAGGTCGAGTAGGTCTTGCATGGGTCGGCCTGGCTTGATGTCAACCCAGCCGCCTCATTCTCGATCCATTGCTGCTGTTCAGTCGTGCGCGGCGTGTTCCGTGCCTTGACAGCAACTAAATGCTCCTGGTGTAGCACGGGGGGTGGGATGGGATGAACTGGTAAGGGTGAAAAAATTAGGAGGTCCGTCATGTGACAGTCAGATGACGATGGCGCTGAAGGCGCTCACATGGCATGTTTGCTCACCTTTGCAGCATAGCAGATGCTGCACGGCATCCGCGATCCATGCGAGAGTGTGCAACTAATCTTGCCGCTCTCGGGGTAGTCGCACACCCAGGCGTACAGCAGTGGCCGCACTGTTTGCCAATCACCGAAAGGGTCCCTGAGACGGAAGCCGCTGCAAGGAACGGGTAGAGTGGTAACGTCAACAGCCATGACGACTCTGTGCATCAGCGAGGAGGGGCAAAGGGTAATGCAACATACAAAAGCGCTGCGCACACTATGCTGTGCACACGGTGACGACATAGCATGACGGAAATCGAGTACAGACCTGTCCATGCCATCCAGAAGCGGCTGCAGCACGGTGAGGACGCATCGCTGGAAGAGCATCACCTTCTCAACAGCAGACATTGCCGAAGGGGGGATAGGAAGGAGAGCAAGTAGCGTGTGCCCGGCTTTCCCCCATCGCTTGGCCTGGGAGATGTTGGCAAGCGTCATCATGAGCGGCCACGCCTTCTTCCGGCCGTTGTTGCTCATGTGCGTCACATCCGAATATAGGATGATACCCCCCACGACTTCAGACCATCCGAAGTGTTCCTGCATGCACGACAAAGATGGAAAACCCCCACGGTCAAACACCACCAAGGTAATGTGTCGCCTGGCGGATTAAGCATGGTACATAACACTCCCCACTAACATGTCGCACTGAAGATGCTCCCTACACATCAGCGCGTCAACGGAGGACGGCGCACGCGTGTGGTTTTGGGTGGCAGCGGGGTATTTACATACCTGAGCATCGTTCCACCACGTTCCAGTTTCTGGCGTGGTATAGCGACGCTTGCCTGTGCCATGGTCCTCATCGACACGAGCCTTGAGCTTGAAGCCGGGCGCGTTGTTGGTGTGCCCAAACAGTTCAGCAAAAGCCTGGAGTACGGCATCAAGAGCGGGGGAGAACGAAACAGGGGTTTAGTGGCGGGAGCGGGGAAGGGTCGGATCGCACACATGGACCAAATGGAGGCGGAATCTGCATTTCGCAGCCACGCATCCACGGCCGGCTTACCTGCGCAGAGTTTTGGAAGAGGAGGCATTGTGGAGGATGACCCTCAATCTCGAAGGTTGCCACTGACCATCCGCGATTGAGCCCTACCAAGCGCTCCATCTCGAACCTCTCCAGATCCTTGCAGTTCCGGATCTCTGAGATCACAAGAGGCGCAAGGCCGGGCTCCACCACGAGCTGAAGCAGGCCATTGATGTCGATCTCCGCCATGCCCATCCCGCCATTTACACGCCTCACGAAGTGCAGCAGCTTCAACGCAATCGGATTGAGGGGCGTCGCATTGCTCTCCCCAGAGATGATTGTCGGCGGGGCCGCGTGACTCACTCCAGGGCGGCACCCCGGATCCGCACTCGTGTCATCTGCAGGTGTTCCGGGTGGCGGTTGATGCTCAGCTTCAGAAGCCCCCACGTTCCCAGCCGAGGGTATTGCGTCATCTTCAGCTTCATGCACGCGAGGAGGACCATTCACAGCGTCGGTGTTGGACGCATTAGACGCGGTAGGTGAAGCGGGAGCAGCGGGAGCGTCCGACAGAATCTCTTGCACGAATAGCAGTGCGTGTAGTCCGGCGGATGGCGCAGATTGCGAGGGCCTTGCCACGGCGGAAAGGCCTTGGCAAGGGGTCCGCTGTGACTTGTGACCGCCATAAACTTGGGCGTTGGGGAACCATCTATTGCAAAACTCGCAGACGACGCCAGGTAAGGAGCCCATGCGGTACGGATCTGTCTAAGTGTTGAGGAATGGCCTGTGAAGCAACGAGCGTCGTGGGAAGCTTGAGAAGGCATTAAGTACTCCGTGCAAGAAGGCTGGTAATGCAACACGGTCATCGCCAAACCGCGCACTGTTCAAGGCGGGTCGTCTTCCCTACAAGGCGTGTCGCCCCCGTTTTGACAGACCACGACGTGAGCAGCGGAGAATGCGCTTGATTGTAAGACGGTAGGTCTTGTGTGTGCGTTGCGAGCTCGGTGAGAAGGACGTGCCTGTGGATTCACGCACTCTTGGTGCGTGAGAGTCGAGTGGGATGAGGAAGAGCGGGAAGAGATCCGTTTGGATCTGTAGTTCAGTTGCGAATTGTTATACGGGGGAGATCGCGCTCACGTTAGTGAGCTCACAGTGGTGAGCTCGACAACGGACAAAATACAGCGCAGGATATTACATTGTACAATTGCATTTAATCTATACACTAAACTCGTTGATGATAACTACTACACGGTCACATGAAAATGCCTGCTCGAGATCCACCCCTAGTTGACAACGTGACAGTCTAAAAACCATACAAGATCTCTAGTGTGGTCTGGCAACATACGGGAAGTACACAAGAACTTCGTGCCCTCACGATAACGCATCGCCGATTGTGCGTTGTGGCTCTACTTCATACCCCTTTGAGGCACCTACTTGAATGTCCGTGCAAGGTTAGATGACAATCCAACACCGTACCACAACGGATTCGCCTGGTCGCGCAAGCCTTGTATGGATGCGAACGCAGCACCGTCGCCAAACTAAACAGCGATGTCGATTGCGCATCAACGCTCGTGCGTTGGGCCTGTGCTTCATCCCACACTCTCAATGCACCTGGCGAAGGGCCCATGCAAGAATGGAGCCCCATCCAACACCATTCCACAACGGATTTGCCTGGTCGCGCAAGCCTTGTATGGATGCGAACGCAGCAACGTCGCCAAACTAAACAGCGATGTCGATTGCGCATCAACGCTCGTGCGTTGGGCCTGTGCTTCATCCCACACTCTCAATGCACCTGGCGGAGGGCCCATGCAAGAATGGAGCCCCATCCAACACCATTCCACAACGGATTCGCCTGGTCGCACAAGCCTTGTATGGATGCGAACGCAGCAACGGCGCCAAACTAAACAGCGATGTCGATTGCGCATCAACGCTCGTGCGTTGGGCCTGTGCTTCATCCCACACCCTCAATTCACCATGTCGAGGGCCCACGCAAGAATGGAGCCCAAGCCAACACCACACTACATCTCCATTCCAGTTGGCACTAGTACACGTCGTGCTTGAACAACTTCCAACGACCAGTATCCGTCGCCCATTCTCAATGTGTGCTCAGTATAGCATTCCATAGTCCACGAGTTGGAAGCACAAAGAGTGCGTCCTAAGCCCCATGCACTCACTAAACTTCACACCATATGACACCATAAACGGCTATTCACTTCAAATTGTCTTAGTTGTACTTTGCAAGTGTATTCAGCTACTATGTTAAAATTTGATCAATGCACTAGGCACTGTATTTTGCAGGATGTGATGATTGGTGGTGTCGAAACGGTACTAGATTCTGTGGAGATTGATGCGTTGGCGCTGATTGGCCGACGCATCTCAAACGACCCTCCCCACTACCGCACCAGCCAAGCTGGACATTCGCCGTGGAAGCAGCGACTGTGATCAAGCGTGTAGTGCGTTTCTGATCGGGAGGCAAATCGTAGACCATCTGATGGTGCGTGTTCTGCTTACAGTCCTCTCGATAGACTCGCAAACCACCCCAACTACCGTCGTGCCCCACTCACCAGCTTCCGTCACCCTCATACCCACTACCTTGACGCCGCTCGCTGCTGAACACAGGAGTTTCCAAATCGCCAGTTAGACGGAGTAGCGACGAAGGAAAGGGCTGACGCCATGTGCTTAGTAGCTACTAATTCAGGTGTAATTGTACCTTCCGATTTAGGGTGAAAAAGTATTGGCTTCACCGGGACGGGGTCAAATAGCAACAAACCTTTCCGGTTTTTTTTTTATAACTCAGCTACCCAATCCCGCAATTTAAAACTTGCATTCGTACCACCCTCATGACACATGCTACTCGGCAAACAGAAAAGCAGCAGGAGGAGGCGAAATGACGCACGACACGAAGGATGTTGCATCAGACCGACCAAGAGGGTGGGGCCAGATCTAGGGCTACTAAAAAGGCCGCCGCGCAAACCAATCAAACGAAACGTGCGGCGGGGAAAAAGGCTGAGGTGGGAAAGCAGAAGCCCGGGAAGAAGGCGGAGGACAAGGGGAAGCAACCAACGGCACGCAAGCGTGTTTCGGCCGTCAGGAGCGATGCGGATGTTGCCACTGCTGCCCTCGAGCCCGGTCCTTCTGACGACGGCACCATCGGCGGGAACGAAGACCCTGGGCGTGGCGGCGTGAGTGTTGCCGTCCAGTCGGGGGACAGAGAGGGCTTTGCGACTGGAGGAAAGCACGGCGACTCTCCCCGCCAAGATCAGGCCGCAACTTCGACGTCCGTGGCAGAGGCAAAGCAGCAGCATCTGACGCTGCCCCCCCCCCCCGCCCGTGGTCGAAATATCTGCTGCAGTGATAGATAAGGAGAAGGATGCTGCGCACGATTGCACGGAGGGGCCGAAATACGACATTGCCGACGTAGGTCGATCTCCTCCCTCTGGGGGACGCGGGAGGCGTAGGCAGAGGAAGAGCGATGGTGAGGAGGAGAATGACACCCCCGTGGCTGAGGACATGCCCATACGCGCGAAGAGGAGGCAGACGACAGCCAGCGGTGACGACGCCGGTGGTGCTGAAGTTGGGACAATGCGAGGCACCACGGCGCCAAGTGGCTTGGCGACAAATCATGCAATGCGGCATAAGGTGGGATCCGGTCCGAGGAAACCATCTAGCGGACGGAGGGGGAAGCAATCTTCGGGGGGGAATAGGCCAAAGCGCGGCAAAGAAGGCCCTGGTGAAGCGGATGTTGAGGACGAGGGGGATGGGGAGGAGGAGGCCGAGGAGGATGCGGAGGAGGAGGACGAGGATGCAGGGGAGGGAGAAAAGGACGAGGATGAGCAGGAGGGCGATGATGATGAGGAGGAGGAGGAGGAGGAGGAGGAGGAGGAGGAGGAGGAGGAGGAGGAGGAGGAGGAGGAGGAGGATGAGGATGAGGACGATGAGGAGGACGATAAGGGGGACGACGAGGATGAGGAGCAGGAGGAGGAGGAGGAGGATGAGGAGGAGGAGGAGGAGGAGGAGGAGGAGGAGGAGGAGGAGGAGGAGGAGGAGGAGGAGGAGGAGGAGGAGGAGGAGCAGGAGGAGGAGGAGGAGGAGGAGGAAGAGGAGGAGGAGGATGATGAAGAGGAGGATGAGGAGGAGGAGGACGACGAGGAGGAAGAGGAGGTGGAGGAAGGGGCGGATGAGGAGGAGGAGGAGGAGCCGGCAGGGAAAGGACGGGGCGCGCGAGGCGGACGGGGGAGTGGCACAGGGAAGGTGGGGGGCCGGTCTGGACAATCCCGGAAACGCGGGGCGGGTGACGCAATGCGTGGCGGACCAGCGGGCAAATCGAAGGCGCGTAAGGTGAAGGTTGAACTTGACCGGGGTGGAAGGAAGCAAGTGAGACAGGGAGCTAAAGGCGATGGAGACGGAAAGGGACCGCGCGCGAAAGGGGTACCTGTGGGTTCGGCAAAGAAAGAACCTGCCCGTAAACGAGGCAGCACCCGCCAAAGCACACCGCGGAAACGGGGCAACGATAAGGAGCAGGCAACAAAACCGAAGGGACAGCAACGTGGTAAGCAACGTGTCACAAACGACTGGCATAGCTGCCGCGGTTTGTGCTGAACAGACCCTAACAACACCGTGTTCCACCCGTCTTTTCCCGCCACAGGGAAGGAGAAGGTTGACGAATCGGCTAAACCGGGTAAGGCGTGACTATACACTACAGTTCCGTGCTACACCCATGTTAGAATCATGCGGTTGCTTGTCATGTTTGCACGTGTCCAAATGCACCTTACAGACACCAGCTCCGTGCTCATCCTCCGTGTGACTCTCAGCCCCCCGTGTTACAGGCATTGGGCCACCGGTAACCGTGCAACGGATGCAGCTTGCGAAAGGGGCCGGAAGAGCGAGTGTGACACCGCTATCCACAGGAGGACCAAGGTTCTTCACGCCATACTCCGGCCCGAGCAAAGTCGCTGCGACTGCACCCCGCGCGGCAACAGGCGTGGAATCCGGATCCCCTCCACCAGCCCCCGTCACGCACTCCCCACTCGCCTCTCCCTCATACCCATTTCGGCCACTACACGCTTCTCCAGCCCGGGGCAGGGCGGTCTCCCCCCTCGCCGGTCCATCGCGTGTGCATCAACCAAGCACCTTTGCCAATCCCTTCCCTGAGCTTCCCTTTTCCCGCCAGCGTGATAGTGTGAGGGCACACGGTGCTGCTGCAGAAGACGTTGATCCCCTTGGCCAGAGAGGGGTTTCTACACACCCTTTTCCGGATGTCATGGATGCGCTGGCTGAAGGTGCAGAGCACGGGCAGTTTGTTACACGAGACGAGTTCTAGCAGCTACGGTCTGAGATGTACGCCATGTTTGCTCAGCTCGGCCTGCGTCGGGGAGCAACTGCCAGCTATGCCGGGGGGGCCGCAGTGGTGCCGATGGGTGGTACCCCGCCGCCGATGAGTGCCGTGGACAAGGCACGTGTGCTTGTGCTGCAGGAGAACAACCCATTCCCGGTATGTGGCGGGTTGGGGTTGACGTGGCAACCAGGGCAGGGTTGGGAATGACCTGGCGGTTGGAAAGGGTGCACGGGAGCGGTGCAGGGCGACACGTGTCTCCACACGTGGGCGGGGGCTGACGTGGCTCTTTCACATCTCTGTGTGCGACGTGGCAAGTGGGTTGGGTTGGTGGGTTTAGACGGCGGACGCAAGAGGGTGTGACGTGGCGGGATGTGTGGCTTGGTGCTGACGTGGCACCTTGGAAGGGCACACGGGAGCGGCGCTCAATGAGGCGCCGCGTGTAAGGTGGGTGGGGTGTGACGTGGCATGGGGTGGGCGGGTGTGACGTGGCACGTGGGGCTGGCTGCTACCTGACGTGGCGGATGCAGGAGGGTGTGCCGTGGCGGGATGTGTGGCTTGGTGCTGACGTGGCGGCTTGGAAGGGTACACGGGAGCGGCGCGTGACGACGCTACACGTGTGCGGTGGGTGGCTTGGTGACGTGGCATGGGGTGGGCGGGTATGACGTGGCACGTGGAGCTGGCTGATCCCTGACTTGGCGGACGCAAGGGCGTGTGACGTGGCGGGATGTGTGCCTTGGTGCTGACGTGGCGGCTTGGAAGGGCACAAGGGAGCGGCGCTCAACGAGGCGACGCGTGTCAGGTGGGTGGGGGGTGACGTGGCATGGGGTGGGCGGGTGTGACGTGTCACGTGGGGCTGGCTGCTCCCTGACGTGGCGGATGCACGAGGGTGTGCAGTGGCGGGATGTGTGGCTTGGTGCTGACGTGGCGGCTTGGAAGGGTACACGGGAGCGGCGCGTGACGACGCTACACGTGTGCGGTGGGTGGCTTGGTGACGTGGCATGGGGTGGGCGGGTATGACGTGGCACGTGGGGCTGGCTGATCCCTGACGTGGCAGACGCAAGGGCGTGTGACGTGGCGGGATGTGTGGCTTGGTGCTGAAGTGGCGGCTTGGAAGGGCACAAGGGAGCGGCGCTCAACGAGGCGACGCGTGTCAGGTGAGTGGGGGGTGACGTGGCATGGGGTGGGCGGGTGTGACGTGTCATGTGGGGCTGGCTGCTCCCTGACGTAGCGGATGCAGGAGGGTGTGCCGTGGCGGGATGTGTGGCTTGGTGCTGACGTGGCGGCTTGGTAGGGTACACGGGAGCGGCGCGTGACGACGCTATACGTGTCAGGTGGGTGGGGGGTGACGTGGCATGGGGAGGGTGGGTGTGACGTGTCACGTGGGGCTGGCTGATCCCTGACGTGGCAGACGCAAGGGCGTGTGACGTGGCGGGATGTGTGGCTTGGTGCTGACGTGGCGCCTTGGAAGGGTACACGGGAGCGGCGTGTGACGACGCTACACGTGTCAGGTGGGTGGGGGTGACGTGGCATGGGGAGGGTGGGTGTGACGTGTCACGTGGGGAGGGTCGTTGGTGGATTTGGCGGATGCAGGAGGGTGGGTGGGGGGTGACGTGGCATGGGGTGGGTGGATGTGACGTGGCAAGTGGGGCTGGTTCCTCCCTGACGTGGTGGACGCGGGAGGGTTGGTCACGCGGCCAGAGTCATAATTGATGGTTTCTCTCTCCCCGTGTCGTGTTGTAAATCCACACCCATGCGCAGAGCAAAGCCTACTTAGTGTGCTCTCAGCTCATGTTTCTGAACCCCCCGGAGAAGATTCAGTATTACCCTGCACCGGAGGAAGTGTTCGAGGCGTTCGCTGTCCACTTGTCTCACGAAGGGCTAGAGTCAATGAAGCTGCTGTGGTTGCACAACGACAAGTCAACCATGGGTGTCTTCAACCACCAGATGTCATCAACCAGGTCAACAATCAACAGCACCCTCAGGCCAGCAACGTACGCCGGCATGGGTCTCTCCGATTACGCCAATACGGTGGATAGCCTGCCCACTGAGCTACGCCCGGAGAAGTGGTTCAACGACGAGCAGCTCCTGGCCGAGTACAGAGATGGTATGTACGTCTCAAACACACCATATCCCCCTGCCCATAAGCCAGTCAGCAGCTACAAATAACCGTGCCGTGGTACTCTGACCCTGTCTCTCACCCCCCCACTTGATCTATCTGCACCCCCTTTCCAACCCATACGCTCCCTCCCAAAATGCAGAACAGTGGACCCTCAACTGGCACTTTGACAAGGCCACCGGAACGCCCTTCAGCAACCCCTTGTTTGCTTATGCGTTCAAGCTCTCCTTCAAGAGGAGCGGGGTCGTGTTCACCAAGTTCAAGAGCCGCATGGTGGCATGGGGCCTGTTTTCGGTAAGGAGGTAGATAAGTGACACTACACCCATGCCTCATCCCCTAAACCCCTCGCCTGTACTTCATCTAAAACCCAGGTCGCTTAGGCGTTTGCGGTTACGTAGGGTGTGACGTCTTCACTGCTTTCAGTTGGATCATATGCCCATGACCTCCCCTCATACACCATCCACCCAACCCTACACCACATTGCAGATCGAGTGGCCCCTTCTGTAGGACAAGCGCCGCAAGCGTATTCCGGCCCAGCCGGAACAAAACAGGCCGGACTACTTCGAGTGATGTGACAAGGTCAAACAGATGATACACTTTGCCGTTGTGGAGCGATGCATCCCAGAAGATCCGGCTCAGGGTGCGTTCGTCTTCCCGAACAAGTTCCTCATCGACGATGGCGACCTTGGAGATGTTGTTCTTGCCTACCGGGGGCTTGCAGGGCCCACCATTGCGTAGACTATTTGACTGGGTGTTAAAACTGCTGGTTGTTAGAATGCTGAATAATGGAAGCTGTAACCCGCGAATATTGAATGTAATTCTGAAATCCTCAATTCCCAGAATAAAACAAAAACAAAATCCATTTTTAAATGATTTGGTCACAAAACTGACCCTAAACGGATTGCGCGCGAATGTCAGCCGGAACAGCACGCGTGCCAAATTGGAACTTGTCAAGCCAAGCCTTGTCGCGAGATGTGTGTCGGAGCTCCTATCAAATGACTCAAACCGTCGGTCGAAATTCGGTCCCGAATTTTTTACGCGAAGACAATCCCAATCAAAATTCGTCCAAACTTGGCATAGGGTTTTTGTGATGATGGGCTGCAGAGCATGCGAGCTGTAGGACTTCGCAGGGAGCAGGGCGACGTAGGCTGCAGGGCGCAAGGGCTGCTGGGCGACGCGAGCACCAGGGCGACGCGGGCAGCAGGGCGTGCAGGCTGCAGTGCGATGCGGGCAGCAGTGCGACGCAGGCTGCAGGGCAGGGCAGCGCACAGGCTGCATGGCTGCAAGGCAGGGCAGCGCAGGGGCTGCAGGGCAGCGCGGGCAGGGCAACGTGCAGGCTGCAGGGCAGAGCAGCACGTGGGTTGTAGGGCTGCGCGGGTAGGGCAGCTCGTGGGCTGCAGGGCTGCGTGGGCAGGGCAGCGCGCGGGCTGCTGGACTACGTGGGCAGGGCAACTCGCGGGCTGTTGGGCATGGCGGCACGCGGGCTGCAGGGCAGAGTAGCGCACGGGCAGCAGGGCGGTGTGTAGGCAGGGCATGGCAAAAAAAAAAAAAAAAAAAACGTGCAGTTCCTACGGTTTGTGGGTCCTAACGGAGCGGTCCTACGGACGAACCAGCTGTGAAACCATATCAGAATCACTAGGCAGGAATGGGAAATGACTAGGAACAAGGAGATACAAGTATGAACCCCAGATTGGGGTTGTACTCTATATTGAGCACCTTAGTGTAGCCTAGCAGAACTAACAACATATAAATATGTTTTGACAATTACTACTCTATACACCAAGTCTGATGGCTCAGAGCGCCCTAAATGATTAACAGGCCCTGTGCCATACCGTGCCGTAGTACGAAAACACCCACCACCCTATCACATGCAAAATCTGCACTTGTAGTTGTTGCGATCAGAAGTTGATCGTAGCCAGGATCACTTCAGGACGGTTCGCAAACTACTGATTTAGTGGTGGTGGGCCCTTGATCTCAATAGCAGAGTGAATGTAAAATTCTTGAGATTGAGAAAAACATGCAAATACAGCACTATAAATAAGAGTACAACGGAATACCAATCGACCTAGCTAGCCATGTACTCTAAGGGATACATTCCCTTATTACATCGAAACTCAACTGTGCGACTCCAGGTGGTTTCGAAACCGTTTGGGCAGAATCCTCGCCACTGCTGCTGCCTGATGCTGTCTGCCCGACGATCCAGATGGTTTCTGTCAGAAAAGACTCATAACTCACACCTTAGTGACCTAGGGTTTAGCTAGGAAGGGTGAGTATTGAGAGAGTTGTTTGGCAAGCAAAAGAGAAGGTTTCACCATAGCAAACAAAGAACATATAGGTGAGAGAACAAGAACAAGATGTGCACCACCAACAATGAAGCAATAACTACACTACACCTTCAAACGATTATATAAAATATGCCAACATATTTTGACACGCCCCCATGATTGTTAGGAGGAAATAGTCTCAAACGCCCCCTGAAGGGATACACCAAGAGTGCAGCGGAAGTAGCAAAGGGCAATTTGAGGAGAAAGCGGCAGATGCTGCAGTGAGACTCAAACCACCCCCTCAACCCCCCCCCAACAGCAGCAGCAGCGGCACTGAGGAGAGAGAGGAGGCGTGGCGGCAGTTGCTGCAGTTGGGTCACGCCCTCAACCCCCCCCCACCAACTGCTGCACGCGCAGCAAGGAGAGGGAGGAGGCTGGCGCTGTAGGTGCAGCCTCCCCTTCACACCCTCCGCCCCGCTCCCCCGCCCCCCCGTCTCCCCCCCCCCCCCCCTCAAACTGCTGCACGAACAGCAGTGAGAGGGGGGGGGGGGATGGTGGGGCGGAATAGGGGCTGCTCCGTGGCTACAGATGCACGCGCAGTGGGG